TGGCATCTGAACTCCCTTCCTATGCCTTTAAGATTTCTGCCTTCTGCTGCAGAACCCCCAAAGCCAGATGCCCACCTCCATAGGCTCCATTGCCCGGAGGGCGGGGCACACGAACAGGCGCAGTCAGTCTGCAGTCCGCCTGGATGCTGACCTGGGAGCTGGTGAGGAAGTGGGAATGCGTCCTGGCATCCGCGGCGGCAGTAACTTTGAGCGTTGAGTCACAACTGCAGCAGGAGGGTCATGGGGTAGCCAGTGTCAGCAGTGCGCGGTGCCATTGCCAGGCAAACGAGAGGGACAAACTGTTGGTTTGGCGTTTGGTGGCAGTGGAAACGGTATCCTCACCAGATGGCTCTGCAGCATAATTTTCGCTTCAAAGCTTCGCTTTCTCCTGCCCATTTTTCTAGCCTTTTCTCCAGTGTTCCAAATGATTCTGTCAACTACTCAGTGTCCTTTCAACAAATTCCTTTTCCATCGAAATCATCCTGAGTTAATTTCTGTTGCTGGAAATAAGAACTCTGATGGAAAAATAAAATAATGAAAGCACTCTAATACAGAATAGCAAAATAATACTCCTTCTAGCTAACAAAAATTTTACAAATAAGTAGTTATTTGGTTGGGTATTTTTAAGCCTTTGAAAGCAACTTTTAAAAACACCCTAGATTTCACTCATGCTTTCAAAGAAGTGTTTTTCACAATCAATGTCATGTTTTAAAAAGGGAGACATTTTCAAAATATCCACTGGAAAAAACTAGACTTCTCCTGTAATAATTTACACTGTGGATCACTGAGATTCTAAAGGAATACTGTAAAATTAAGAACTTGTTCAATAGAAACAAATAGTCTCATAGCTAACATTCCAGGAAGTGTCTGCCTGTGACTGATCTAGTGCTCAGAGGATAGGTTTGGGGAGATACTGTCATCTTTTGTGCCACTCTGAAAGCTTGGGGACATGCTAAACATCTTACCTTTCCTTATCAATTATGAATTTATCAGCCATCAATTTTCTTGAGTCTATTTTGTATCTACTCAAAATTTCCTCCTATATGAACTCTTTAGGTAATGAGTGTTAGAGACTTACTGTTTGCTATGTGAACTAGTGCTTTTATTTTTTGTTCTATTATTTTTGTACTGGAGGGTTTTATAAGTAAGTCCATGTTCTCTTTTGAAGAAGACTCATAATTTTTCCCATCAAGATTTTTTAAAGTTTGTATTTTCTTCATCAGTCCAAGCAAAATCCTTTTTGTTGTTGCTCTTTTTTATTTCCCATTGTTCTTTTTCATCCTCCATGCCAATGGGAGCCCTTCCCCATTGGCACCCATTCTGTGTTTAGAATAAATATTCTTTAAAACATACAGAGTTGTTTTATGTAGAAGATGTACACATTACCTAAACTGTAACGTAACATGAATTTCATGGTTTCCTTCCTTGCCCCCGTGAAGCTGACATTTTAGTGGAGAAAAAAGACAAGTTTACACACAAAATCAGACAATAATTTCAGGTAGTGGTAAATGTAATAGAGGAAAAAGAGTGATGCCGTGTGATTGAGTTACTTTATATAGGTAATTTCTTCTGAGATTATTTGATCTGAGACCTGAAACATGTAAAAGATACTGTTAAGAAGAGCATCCAGACAAAGAAAGCATAGGCTCTGAGACAAGAGCAAGCTTGACATGAGACAAATGGAAGAGACAACCTGTATGTCAGGAGCACAGTGAGCCAGGGAACAAGTAGTCATAGACGAGGCTGGAGAAGAGGCGAGGGCTGGGCCACCCAGGATCTTGGAGGCTGTGGCCAAGGGCATGGATTTTATTCTGGGAACAACCAGAAACCCTTGGAAGATTACAAAAGCAAGGAAGCAATGTGTTTTTTATTTAAGAAGCTAACTTTAGCTGCCGTGAAAAAAATTCAGCTGGAGGAATGACCAAAAAAGCAGGGAAATTTAGTTAAGAGATCATCTTAGTCCATGTGAGATATATATGGTGAGATGGTTTGGAGAAAGGCAGTGAGACTGGAGATAGAAGCATCTGGTACCAGAAAAGCTCCAAGATAAGAGAGTTTCAAAAATGAGGTTGTAGTCAATCATTTCAAATTTTGTGGAGCTTAGAAGTACGAGAACAGAAAAAGGGATATTGGCTTTGGCAACTTGGAAGTTGTTAGTGACAAAAGATAGATTGGAGGTCATTGAAGAATGAATGAAAGGTTTTTGTTAAGAAAACCAGATTTGACCCTCATTCTCTTCTGGTCCCTTCCCAAATCCCATGAAAATGATACTAAAGATACAGAGAAAATCCATAAACTCATAGGAAAGAGAAGAGGCTTGTTGACAAATTTTCGGAGTTTGGAAAGCAGGCCTATTAGCAGTGAGTGTCAACAGAATGGAGGAAGGTTAATTCAAAGCTGGGAGTGGAGAAAGCAGAGCAGTAATCCGTTCTCCCACTGCAAGGCCCCTGAGAGGACCAAGACCTGGTGGTACCACCTGCCTCTGGAAATGAGGGAGCAAATGGAGTTGGGAGACGAGGACTGGCTAAAAGTCTATCTGCCCGGCAGTTAGACCACTGGATCATCTCTTACACTCAAGCAGAAGCCTAGAAATTCACTCACGGAAGAGGATAAAACAGAGAGGGTCTCCAGAACGGGAAACACCAAGCAAGCTGAGGATAAGAACCTTGGGTGTCCAGTTTTGTAGATTCTGTGTCTCCCTATTTCTTGGTTTACTTCTTTATTGTGGAGGAGTATACCACTCAGTAACTTCCTGTGGAAGGGTTCAGGATGCACACATTTTTTGAGACCTTTATATCTGAAAATATCTTTATTCCATCCTCCCAATAGGTTGGCTGAGTATAGATTTCTTGGTTGGAAATCACTTTTAATTAGTATTTTGAAGGTGTGGTTCCATTTCCTTCTAAATTCCAGTATTGAACAGTCCAATGCCTTTTTCATTTTTGATCCTTGGTAGTGATGTTATTTTTTTCTCTCTGAAAACTTATAAATCTCCTATTTGCCCTAGCACTGAAACTTCACAGTGAGCGTCATATTACCGTACATTTTGTTGTGCTCTTTACTCATGTCTTTCAATTCTGGGAAAATTTCCAAATATTGATTTTTTTAATCTCTTTTGTATTATTAGTTTCTTCCTGGAAATCTTATTATGTAAGTCCCCTAATATATTGATCTTCTAATGTTTATATGTATATATTAATTCCTTAGAAAATATTCCACTGTAAGGCCAACGCCTTTTGAGTATGAGTTGGTTTATGAGAATTAGGTAACATCTTTCCTGCACAAACCACACTAAAAATGCATCATCTGAGGATACTTCGTTTTGCTTTCTTTAAGGTGAATTGTGAAGCAATTTGATTTTTGTTTTCTCTTTTTATAGATCTCAACCATATATCACTTAGCATCAATTAAAAAAAATTAGATTTTCTCCTAGTTTCCCCCAAACATTCAAACTTGTTCTCTCAGAAATAGTAGTTCCTACCTTTTTGAACTTATATTTTGATGGCTTACCTAATTTTTAATTAAATTGTCTGTCAACAGTAAGACCAATTCTCTGTCTATCTAAGGACTTCAAAGTTCACCGTCATCAGCTGCAGTAACAGGCAGTTCTAGTGTACTGCTGATTTTCTGCCACAGTTAATTGTGTGGTCACCTCTTGGCTTTCAGTGAGCCCACCCGTCAGGTTGACCAGAGCAGGTTTGGTCCTGGGGAGTGAAAACAACAGGCCAGGTCTTCTGCAGCAATGAGACCATGTCCACGGTAGCTTCCAGTTCAGCAACAGTTCCACAGTTTCACACTTGAGTGCATTCAGATCTCTCAGGTAGATGACAACCAGGCTCCATAAATAACTAACTTTCTGCTAGCATTGTTTTGAAACTCAGATTTGAAAAGATACTACCCTCTCCCCAAAGGGCAAATTTCTAGTGAAATGAGTTATATGACATTTGAGCAACCCCTTCAGGCTCCCAAATCACTTAAGAAGGACTTTTCCTTTGAACGCATTTAATGAAGTCATAATAAAATCAACCTAATCTAAATAGATTTTGGTTGGATCTTAACATGATGATACATGACCAGTACACAAAGGGCACTCAGATTTGTTTTGGTTTTTTTTTTAATGCTTTACTTAAGCTCATTTATAAAATATCTTTGAGGATTTGTTTTGTTTTGTGAGTTACAACAAACTCTGAGAGCAATATTTGCTCCTGGATGTTCACTCTAGAGTAACAAATTGAGACAAAAATTGTACCTGTAATTGGACTCTAGTATATATTTCATAATACATACTAGTATTAGAAATAGTAATAAAGAAACATCTTTACTTATTAAAGAAATATCAAATATGAATAGTGAGCTGTCATCTGCATCATAAAAACATCATAATGTCACTCATTGTACTATTTAAAAATTGTCTTTCTGCTCCATAAGACCCAAGCTAAAAGGCAAGATAAGTCTTCCTCTGCCTACCACAATTTCTGGCACAAAGTCAGACACACAATAAATATCAGTTGAATTAAAATAAAAGTTGGCGTTGTAATAAAGGAGAGAATGCAGGGGTTTTTTAAAATATAAGCTCAAAGTACAAACAATGAGAAGATGGGGCCAATAATTTTAAAATGTTTTCTTTTGTACAACTGAAGCTCTGCCAGGTTTAATACATGAAGCCAATCATACTTTACTTCTTAAATAAGAATAGAAGAGATCTACATACGATCAAAAAGAAAAATTGTTAAATCTTCTAAGTCAGCATCACATTTTTAAAAAATTACTCTATCATGTGCTCAAGGGAAGTTATTAGCAATTAGTACAAAATTTTTAAAATTCTCTAACACAGAACCTTTTCCATTCCTTATTTTTTATGCCATTTCTATTCAATAACTTTTTTCTTAAGAAACATTGATGACTCTACAATTGGTGCTCAGAAATTTAGTGGCCAAAATTTATGCTTCCCCTACTTATTATCAATTATATATTTTACCCCCAAAAAAACCCTTAAATAGTTACAGTAGTGATAAGAATTTGTTTTATTGTGTTCTCCATAGATAGAAATAAGGGGGATTTTTTTGGTGAAAAAAAATTCATTACAAAGACAATCTATAACTGAATCAGTAACAAATAAAATTTAGCTATAAATGAGTCAGGTATTCTGCATTTGAAATTCAATTTCATAAACATTCAAGATTAGTGAATTTTGGTAAGAAAAAAAAAAGACCAGCAGAAAGGAAAAAGACACCTTTTTAACAGATATCAACTTAAGAGCTGTTTTTGTTTTTGTTGTTTTTAATTACTTTGAGAAAACACAGGATAGTTATTTAAGAAAAGTCTTTTACGGAAGACTTAAGTGCTTCAAGTCAAGTGTACTTTAGACTAAAATATATTTTAAAATTTGCCAAGAAACTCAAGTGTTAAAAATAGTCTCCTCCTTATTCATTTAATTTCATGTTTAAGGAAACATTTGACAGATAAGTAAATAAAATGCAAAAAAAGTTTACCTGCATTTTTATACAGTAAATTCTAGATCTATAAAAAATTTCCTGGTTTCACACAAAGGCCAATTTTTGACCTTAACTGATCCATTTCTAAGTAGTTAAAAAAATAGAGTATCAAATCTTTTCCCCTCCCCCCAAAAAAACTAGAAGAAATATTTAAATTGTGAGTGTGTGAATGTAGCTATGCATATTCTCAAGCATACAAAACACACAAACATCACTTTACTTGGAAAATTATTTTCATCATACTGTAAACATCTCTTCCTACATCTGGACATTTCAAAATAGTCTTTGGTATGACTAGTTATTGTGCTTTGAAATGGAAACTTAAGGGGTTTCTGTAGCAGTGCTACATAGACATTTTAAGATATAAATAAGAAAAATGCACTTGGAATAAGTTACAATTAGCTGCTTTTGCATAATTTTCAAAAACTACAGTGTATGCCTAGTCACAGTTTTATGAGAATGAATATCTCCTTTTTCAACTCCTTAATTTTAAGGAACACTTAATCATTTTGGTTAAAAATCCATTTTTGGAGTGGATCTGATGGCTTGCATGACACTAAGCTTGGATGCTCTCCACTTGCTGAAAGGCACATTTTAAAGAGTGGATTGTATAGAAGTTGGTCCTAAAATAGAAAGAAATACAGCAGACATTAAGTTTCAAGGCTCAAAGTTAACTGATAAATATGAAAACACTTTATGGTCTCATCAAAACTAAAGGGAGACATATACCAAATGTACACCATTCTTAACTTTTAATCTAAGATCCGCTATGTCTGATACAATCTTGTTGGGTTTTGGTACAGGCAACACCATTTATGCCACCACTGTTCAGTTCACAGAAGGTGAATGAAGAGATGTGTACAGAGCAAGGTCTCAATCAAGGTTTTTTAAAAAATTCAGTGATTTAATTGCAAGTGACAAACTCTTTAAAAAATCCTAAGTCATGGGGTGGAGGGTACAAAAAAATTAAAACCTAATTACTTCCCCCACCAAAAAACAAAAAGAAGAAGAAAAAAAAACCCTAAGTCATAAAAATCAATCTTACAGTGTTCTAGTATTGCACAAAACAATATTCAGGTAAGAACTGCTAGGTTCCAGCCAAGCTTTAAAACATATGTTTAAAAACAGCAAAAAACCTTTCACATATTCTCTCAGTTCTAGATTCATGAAAAAGTATTAACACAGGGAAAGAATCACTTTAGGTGAGAAAAAGTATTTTTTTCCTCTCTGCCAGGAAAAAAATGTATGACTGTTGCAAGAAGTATTATAAGGAACTCTAAAAAGACAAATTTGAATAACTATTATTACTAATCCACAGACTGTTGATCTGCACAATTCATGCTCTAACTAAGCAATTTTACAACTATTTTGCTCCTAAAAGTATTTAATTCACAGATATACTCTTTCTTATCACACGGGCAGACATACACAACGACTGAGCTAACACAGAGAAGTTCTGATGGAGGATGTTAACACACTATGCACTGCATGCATTTTCCCAGATGAGCAGTTAGAGCTAATCGAAATAATTACATGAAGGGGTGGATTAATTACACTGAAGTACCTTCTGGATCTCCCATATCTGTTCTCCAGTGGCAACTGTCTTGTGACCTTTGTAGGTACACGGCTTCAGCTGAACAACACCTTGAGCAGCATGAAGACATAATTCCTTCTGAATGTTATGGCGAATTTCATGTTGAACGGAGTATTCAAAGTACTGTGAAAGAAAGAACACTGTTACTGATAAAAGTACCCTATAGCCTCAGTTGCAAAATAATCAGCCAAAAAAAAAAAAACCAACTCACTGAATAATGGAGTCATATGCACTTCAACAAAATAATACAATAAAATAGGTATCAGAATCATAAGCTGAGTTTTTGAGACAGAAAATACTATAGCCTTTTTCTAGCCTATCACCAACAGGTAGTTACTTAATTAAGAAATGTTGTCTCCATCACCATGTCAGAAATTGGAGGCTATCAGATGGGATGGTGGCAAGAAGGATGCCACAGAAGAGCCTGGAAGCTTTTAGCAAGCCAACTAACTTCCTGCCTTTTCCCCTCCGCAAGGGTTCCTTCTCTCTTATTCATTTCAACTAATAACATTTTCCTTTAAACTAGAAACATTTCACAGAGCACTCTTTATGCCTCAGTTTCCTTGCCTGTAAAATAGGTAATTTAATAGCTCCAACCCCATAGGGCTATGAAGATAAATGGGTTAATACATGTGAAACACTTAGACCAGTAACTGGTACATGGTAAGCGTTCAATACATTCTTAGCTATCGTCACTATTATTGATGCTTCTGTCTCCCATATGTCCAATTAATTAGCTCCCTAGTCCTACTGAATCTTCCTCTCAGATGTTACCATCCCACCCACCGTTCCTTCCACATCCTCACTTCTCTTGTTCAGGCACTCCAAATCTCTACTGCAACACCTCCAGCAACCTATAATCCAATCCACTCTGCTGCGAGTTAGTCTTTTATAACATTGATTTGATCCCCTACCTTCCCTGCTTAAGTGAATCACTCCTGTTGCTAAGATAAAGTTCACACTCCTTGACTGGTACATTAAATCTTCCATTTTCAATCTTACACCAACCATTGCCCCAGTTATACACTATATTCTTTTCATACAATTCTACCAATGCAGGACAGGTGTATCCATAACTCTAAAACTTTGCTTTACTGTCACTGCCTAGAACATCCTTCTGGATCCTTCTCTGCCTAGCTAACTCCTTTTGATCCTTCAAAAGCCAATTCAAATATTACCTTCCCCCTTTACTTTTCCCTGAATCGGTCCTATGTACAAAAATTACACTCTTCTCAGGGTTCCCACTGACCGTCAGAGATAACTTTCATAGCACTCTGTTAACCATAGACCAAAGTCAGGCAGTGTATTTAGTAATAACATTCATTACAAATCAAATATTTCATAATGTTGACATTCCTAAGATAAAATAAGTGAACATAATTGATTTTCAATAATGAAGTAATTAGTCTTAGCACAATATTTATTGAGCCCTTATTATGTGCTAGACCTAAACCCTTTGAGTGCATCGGAGTAGGCTCTCTACAAACATTCGCTGAATTAATCTTGAGTTCCCCTGGTCTTAGCCTCATGCTTAATTTATCTCCTTCCACAAATATAATATCAGTCATTTTTATAACTGATAGTTCTTCACGTGGAGTCACTGAAAGAAAATGGGTTTAGATCACAAAAACAGCACTCTGGCTGTACTTCTTTAAGAAAGATAAACCTTAGGACCTCAAAGATGGTAAGAAAGGTTGTCTAGTGCTTTACTTCACTCCATATTACTTTTTAAAAATCATTAAAAAGGAAGTTGTAAGGAATGGAAAATAGTTGAAGATTCTTAGACATAATTAGCTAGCTGAAGACATTAGAGAGACTTGTAATTTAGAAGCAGGACAAATACACTAGAAGAGAAATGGGAGGAAGCAAAGCAGTGTGTTACAAAGCCATAGTGAACTAAACTGCCTGGCACCAGGATGTTAGTCCATCCAGTCACATTATCAAAATACATACTTTGACTTGGCATACTCAAACACTGTTACAATGGAGTTTTATGCTATAAAAGTATCATTATCTGATCAAAATGGTAGAAGGGAGCATGAGGAAATGATCGAGTTAGATCACATCATAAAACATCGAGTACTCAAGGAGCTACAATTCCCAAGCTAGTTTAAATGCAGTGTGTGATTGAAAATAACATTTAAAGGAAATAAAAAAAAACCAATGGCTGTGTCAGGATGATAGAAGCCAGAATTATCTTAAAATATAAACCAGAAAATATTATTCTTCTTCTGCTCAAAACCTCAGGTGGCTTCTGTCACACTAACTATTAAATCCACGTTCCTTCACTAGGCCAGCAAAGTTTTATCTGACCAGGTGCCTTATCCACGCCCTTGACCTCACTTTCCGCCCTTCTCTCCCTGGACCACTCTGTTCCAGCCACACTGGCTTCATGCTTGTTCCATTTACCTGCCTCGGGGCCTCTGGCCTTGCAGTCCCTCTTCCAGGATGCCCTCCTCCTGGAGCATGGTCCCTCTCCTAACTCCCTCAGGTCTCTACTCTAAGGTCAGCTTCTCAAAGAGGTCTTCCTAAACCTCTGAAAATAACTATCCACCCACACACACAAATTATCACCCCTTTCTTGCTTTATTTTTATTCATACCTAAAATTACATATTTATTTTTTCCTTTCCTTCTAGAACACAAGCTCCACAACATAGGGACTTTGTCTTTTTCACTACTACAACAGTGTCAGTTACATTACAGACTCCAAACAGATATTTGTTGAATGAGTATGTGAATTATTTCACCATCCCCAAATTTTTAAGACAGCTATATGCTATTTATACTTTAAAAATTATTTGAGACAGAACTATGAAAACAGCTTTATGGCAATAACAAGAGGAAGACAGGACAACGTATAGAATATGTCTTTAACTTTTGTGATAGAATAGATAAAACGCTAGAGGAAGCCTAAAAAAGTTTATAAGTATTTACATTTAGTGATAAGATTTTTACAAATGAAGAAATATTTCTCATTGCTCAGAAACTTAGTTTTTACTAGGATAGTCTAGTAGTATAGTCCAGTGTTATTGCCAAAAGAATGCAACTATTTACATAATTTTTCTTCTAATAGAGAGTAAGGAAGTTTTTAAAATACGCATACACTTACATGTATACATACACACGATGTATATGTATATAGATACAGGTATATATGCATGTGTGCATGTGTATATGTAAGTGTATGCATGTGTCTCTCCATCCTGTTTCAGAGCCACACCTTAACCATCCTGGACCCTATTTACTACCTATGGTTTCTGGGCATCAGCATCATCTACCCTCAGCAGACTGACTGCTTTGGATAACTAAGGATTGGAAGTAGATTAAGCTGAGGCTGAGTAGGAAGAAACATGGAAGAGGCTGGATCAGGAGATAAATTGGCCCTTTCTTCTTAAAACTGATATCATCAAAGTCCCATCCTGTTAAAATAGGACACCATGAGTATTTAATATTGTAAAAACCCTCTACACAGATCTTGGACTCTAAACCAAAAGACCTGCAATTTCCAGAAAAACAAAACAAAACAAAACACCAGGTCCTCCCCTTAGCACGCCTCTCTTCATGCTATTCTCAGCCCATTCTCATTTCTGCCAGCCACCTCGCTAACTCCTGCATACCATTCAAAAAACATCTTCAACTGGTCATCTTTCCCAGGAAAATGTGTGGGCACAGAGTCTGCTTCAAATGCCCTCCTCCATACCCCCAGAGCACCCTGAATGTTTTACCCCAGACCTCGTCACCCTGACGGTAACTGTTGGTTTTGAAATATAGATTACTGAAGGAGTTAGAATCCAAATTGCTTGAACCCAGCAGAGAATCTGGCATTCAGGGATCACTCAGTGAATTTGCTGAATTAATGAAGAGAGAGTCTAATCCTTCCAGAAATTAACTTGTAAAATGCAAGGAAATGAAGCTAGAAGCTAAAAACTAAGAACTAATATGTTCTCTACCCATAGTGACATCTGACATTTCAGTCCTAACTGGTAAAACAGTCATAAGGTAGTTTCAAGCAGAGGTGTTCTCAATCAAGGAGAATCAAGAACATACTTTTTTTTCAGTATATATTGATACAATATCATGATGCACAAAAATATGGTATTAACATTATGTCATTTGCTGTTGGATCCAGTTAAATATAGCTTTATGTATAATTTAGCAAAATCACCATGCCAATAGTCACGCAACATCAAAGATCCACCCAGAAGATCCTGGTTTTTTATTTCAAATGGCATTATTCTGTCATTTTCTTATTTGGCTTTCTGCTGAATGGGTAAGCAACCTCAAACTGCTCTCTGAGTCAGAGTGAAAATCAAAATACTCTGTAACTTCAATATTAATTGCCAAACTTAATCTAAAAACATTTCACATACTAGTTTAAGTGAACGTAAAACTGATTTAGGGGTTCTGGAAAATACGCAGCAACTTACTCAAGATTGTAGGCGCTAATGAGAAGGGAGAATTTTTACTGCAGTGCTCACCTGGTTTCCCCCAAGTCCATGACATGTATACAGAATTAATGGTTTGCCTCCTTGATTGTTTTCTCCAACATCCAGACACAGAGGCTGACCAAAGCTTTTAATCTGAAGGAAAAATTTCAAGTTAAATTTTTTAAAAATTTATATGGCTTACATTTTTTTCAATTAATTTCAGGAAGTGTTGTTAATAATAATAATGTAAAATCTCAAAAGCAATAAACCAGAAAGTATTTCAGCAATTTTTCCTGAACCACATAAATGTTGGTGGCAAGAGAATGCAGTAAAGGAACAGGAAAATACTCACATATCCAGATATAACAGGATTAAGGTCTGGCACATATACTTCTGGATAAATATTGTTCAGATACCATGTAAAATTTTTACACTGAAGGCGTTGCTTTATTTCAAATCTTTTTGAAAGATCACCAAATGATTTCTGGAGAAAGACGAGAAGGAAAGGGGAATGCTTAATTAAAACAGCACTAATAAAGTACTTCAAATGCTATTATTTGTATTTACATTTAGGTCTTAAAAAAAATTCTGGGCCAAAGTGCAAGATGCAGTCTAACAGCAGTCACCATTCATTTAGGCAACAAGTATGCCTTGCTGCTCACTCTGGCTTCAAAAAGAATCAAGGACTCCTGCAGTGCTGACCTAGTGCTATTTTATTCTTTCTTTGTGCCACAAACCTCCATCAGGGAACAAAGATCTCTAGCAAACTGTTCAGGGCAAAAAATAGTAGTGGGGGCATCCAAAATTGATCCCAGTTTTATACACAAAAGTGGTCTGTACAGTGAGGTGTGAGAAAGCAGGTACAGAGAAACAGTGCTGACGTGTAACATAATTTCTCTCTCTCCTCCAGCCAACACCACAAACAACAACACACTTGGGAATAATTTTTTCTACTTTTACTCTTAACAGTATCTTCTAATAATATCCTAACAATAACAATGTATTAGTAGAAAAAGGGAAGTTTTTAATAAATTGCGTTTTATTTATCTTATTTAAAAGGACTAAGAAAACTAAAAACAAAACAAAACAAAACACTATTAAATTGAAAAGGTATTTGGTCTAGGCAAAATTTTAAAGAAAATTATAGTGGGTGCCTAAACATATGAAAAACTAATACTCAAGCTCATCAGTTCAACTAAGGAAAATATTTTCTCCACCAGCTTCAATGTTTTGAACCCAAGTGTTTTAGCAAAACGTATGAAACGCTAAAGGACTTCTGGATGGCTTAAGGAATTTTACCATGTGGCTCTGTTTGCCCTGTGGTAAAAATAGGGGTTTGCTGGCTCGCTTGCCCCTCTGTGGGTGACGAGAGAGCATACGCTGTATTTAGCACATGCTTGCCTGCTCAGCCAAGTACCATTGTGCAGTATACAATCTGCCTGACTGGTTTTGCTGGCCTTGGGTAAAGAGTTAGCAATCTAACCCAATAGTGCTCTGACTTTGCATTGTCCTGACATGTTACAGGGAGACACCAGAGACCAAAGAAAAGGTGAAAGGAGGTAACCAGAGCTTTATGACACTCAGAATGTTGATGCCCTTTAATTTCAATATATACCTCCTGGCAAATCGGCATTGTTTCTTACAAAGAGTTGGGTGCTGTTCACTGAAACATGTCCTTAAGCTGTCTAGTTTATTTACCACATCCAACATTGAAACTGTTGGGATTCAGCTCTAATGTATTAGGCATGACGATTCTGAAGGGCTTTTATCTAGGACAGGTCAATACCAACCACAGTGCCATACATTTGTTAGCATTTATTTTCTTATTTCACAGCTGCTCTGGGAGACAGGCAAGCATTTTATTTTAAGACAGGGAAGGAGAGAGAAGAGACATGGTGGAGCACACACTCCATGTCTGGCCAACCTGTCAACCCCTCTGCGAGGTGCCATCCCAATTTTACAGTCTCAAGCAGCTTAGCCAAAGTCACTCTTCCAGGGAGTAATGGAATCAGAACTTGCTATTAAAAAAGCCTTGGTACTCCCGGTTCATTTTCCTGCCACGTTCTGACACCTTCTCTCTCTCCAGTTCAAAATGCCACTTAGCACACTGACTTAGGTGCTAATCACATCACCTAAAACCAGTTAAAAGCAGTTCCACTTACTCTTACTTTGAGTAAAATATCGAACCAAGGCAGTTACTAAACTAAACATCTTCCATTATTAAAAAGGGCCACATCGAGTAGAATGCCTAAATTTTTAAAAAGCAGTTTACTTGACTTTTTCAAAAAAAAATGGCATCAATAAATTGTGTATTTTTGAGTTAAAAAGCCCAGCTTTAAAAAATAACTTTTTTTTAAATAGAAGTATACTCAGTTTACAATGTTGCCTCAATTTCTGGTGTACAGCAATAATGTTTCAGTCATGCATACACATACATATATTCCTTTTCACATTTTTTTCATTACAGGTTACTACAAGATATTGAGTATAATTCCCTGTGCTCTACAGAAGAAACTTATTGTTTATCTGTTTTATATACAGTAGTTAGTATCTGCAAATCTTGAACTCCCAATTTATCTCTTCCCACCCCCTTTCCCCCCAGTAACCATAAGTTTGTTTTCTGTGTCTGTGAGTCTGTTTCTGAAAAATAACTTTTTAAAAAAATGTTTTATATTTGAGTTGACTCAAACAAGTAAACAGACATGTGAACTTACTGTGGATTTTTGTTGTAATTTTTTAGTTCTCACTTACTTGTTTAACAATTTTTGCTGCATCCGTGTTTCTCCTATAAAATATTTCCTTGTATTCATCCATCCAAACTTCTGCAAGGCGAACTTGGTTGCGAGCAATCACCTGAGTGCCTTTTGGAAAGGTATGAGGGCTTTTGCTGCGAAAAACATGTCCAACAACAGAGCAAGGCATAATCTCCAACTGCCCACCACATTGCCACACCTGATAATTAATGATATTTGTTTAAATTTACAGTATTTTAGGAAAATCAAAGTGTTGCTTTTAAGTTTACCTTTAAGATAGTGATAAAAAGATAAGAGATTTATTATAACTTTACAAATAGTCTCTGTTCCCTGACAGTTCAAGTTAAGTTCTTAAATATAAAGAACAATTTTATTAAGCGGTACAGACACTAAAGAAAAAAACCATATTTTCAAAAAGAATTTTAATGAAATAGTAATTTCAGATTTCTCATAATAAATTCTAAAATTTCTTTTTTTTTTTTTGCAATAATTATACAAGTTCTCTAGAATTCACCAATGGCTCTTCTGCATTTGGCTTCCATAGCAGACCTGGAGTACATGGGCCCAGACTCTACCCTTTGCAGATTCAGTTTTGTAATCAAGAAAACAATTCCAGATAGTCATTATTACCGAAGCACAATTTATTAAACTTGTAAAATAGTTGTTCATTATTTTAAAAGTCATACTATTTAGAAAGAATCATACTACTTAGATGGTCAAAAAGCTTACTTGCATGAACTCTAAATAAAACAGCAAATCGTTAAATCAGTAACTACTCATTTAAATATCTTGACAATCTATTCTGCCATAAATAAAAATCTAAAAGTCATGTTTAATAGCCTGTGCTAATATTAGGGCAGTGATTGTATTCTCTCTCTCTTTTCATTTTAAGAAAAATGAGAAAGCTCGGTGATATGTTCAGTTCAACAAACTGCTTGAGAGCCAATGTGTGCTGGAGGTTGGGAATACTGAAATGAATAAAACAAGACCCCTGCCCTTAAACAGCTCAAACTTGGCTAAGATCATCACTGCTATTATGTGTTGGAGCCAGAGCCAAAATTTAAATCTTCTAACTCCTAGTTCAGTTCTTTTTCCACTACATTCCAGCCTAAGGGATAAAAAATGAATGACAAAGTCATTGTAGAAACGAACTCATGAAATCATACATGTACATGTGGAGACCATCCAAAGCCTTTAGTTTCTCATATTAACTTTTAATATGTATAGGAAAAAAAGCTTGTTTAATCCAAAGAGTCAAGTTCAATGTCCTTTAAAATTATACATAAATGTTTTTCCATTCTGACTCCCTTGATAATCAACCAATTTCCTGAAGCACTATATTTAATTATATTTATCTTGGCTGGAATTCAGTAGCTACAAGTGCATTAACTGGTGTTATTGCCTGGACACAGGCGTTTAACTGATTCCTCTTGTTACACTGAGAGCAAAGAATACATAAGTTACATTTTAAGAGAAAATATACTTAATTCTAAAATTTCTAATATTAGAAAGCACAAAAAGTAAAGACTGCATGCATCCGTGATACTATGTATCAGCCAACTAGAAAGATCTATTTAATATGTGTGCTATATTGATACACTTACTCTGAAAGACATTTCTATATTTTCACCTCCCCAAATTTCCATTTCTTCATCATAAGTTCCAATATATTCAAAATACTCTTTTGATATGGAAAAAAGGCCTCCTGCAAAAGTGGGTGTTCTGAAAAATAATTCATTGTCAAACTTTATTTTAAAAGCCAAATAAGAGAAAAAGAACATATTTAAGAGCAACTGAATCAAATTTACAAATAAAGAGAGATCACAATTTCAAGAATTTATATAGATTAATAAAAACTAAAAATGCTATCTTCAAAGTCGAGTTTTAGGGGATGGGGAAGAAGTATTTTAAGTGACCTTTCCCAGCAGAGCACATTAAGTGTCTTCTAACCAAACTTAAAGACTCTTAAGTAATGATTTTGAGGAAGACATAAGAACTCAATTCCGCTTCCTAGTCAGTAACACCATGTGTAAGCAAGTACATAAATAAATGACTCTTCTAATTCTATTCCTTTCATATAGAATACGTGTGTTCTTTGTTAGTGTGAATTACATTGGAGGAAATTACTGTAAAAGGCAAAGACTGCATACATATTCAAATAATTGAGCTGTGTATAAGACTTTGAGAGCAATCATCTTACTTAATTGGGTACGTTTCATCCTTCCTTCTTTGCTTCTCATGATCGGGGAGTGATTCCCAGCCAAAGGAAAGGCTCCAGTCAAAATTCCCACGGTTGTGGTTGCTTCCATAGGGAGAAGGTTTGTTGAATTCAAACGTGTTCAGATCTATGGATGCAATATCTGGACTCACGACAGCAGTGTAGTTCTCTGCTATTCTGGCCAACAGAGGCTCTAACCACCCGTAGAAACATTCACCTGGAAAAAATACAATTTTAATTAATTCAGTGAAAACAGGGTTTTGTCCCTTTTGGATTTTGGAAGAGGGTTTACAGAGAAATGAGAATAACAAAACCATTTGTGTTTTGAACATTTATATAGGGGAGATTTCTTGAAGGTTTCTTGTCACGAGTAAGGGTAGGATGAAAAAAGTGAGGCAAGGTTAGGCATAGATAGAAAATGGTTTTTTTAAACTTTAGAATGGAAGCAAAATGATACTGGTATATTTAACTTTCAGACTGTGTATTTCTCTTTAAAATGGGCTATGAATCAAAGATAACTTTTTGCTGATCCATACCACCTAGCTCCAAAAAGTGTTTGTCTCCCTGAGTCAAGGATAGTAACTGAAATCTTCATTTCTCTGACAGGGTCTTAGGAGAAAGTAAGTCAAGGAGTCAGAATATTCTGACTTCAGCAGTTGGAGAAGAAGGACTGTTCAAACCTGTGCAGCCTTAGTGACAGAGGGTAAAGGAATGGCATGAAAGGTCTGGGCCCAGCCCAAGGCCAGGCTGTCTCCCATCACACACAGAGCTCAGGAGATGCAGCCTGTGCAGTGCTACTCAGGGCTCCCATCATCAAGTGGAGTTTGGCAGTCATGGTCCAGGAGGACCATCAGATACATCCACCTGGAGAGGAAGGATGCCTAATCTGACATAACTGTAATTTTGGAGCAGCAAACAGAATACTAGAGAAGGCACCATTTCCTTTTGAAAACATCTCTCTTGTATTACCTTTAATGTCTCTTAACTGCCTGGTATTAAGAGAGTGCAGGATGTGAAAGCTCTAAAGAGACTCAAGCAAATCTGAAAGCCCTTCTGTAACAATTAGCATGTGCTCAAAACCATTTTCTTGGTCAAACATAACCTAAGGGCTGGCCAATCCAAAGCTAAACACTCAGAGTAAAACTCACTAAACTTAGAGCTTGAGGGACTAAGTGGCATTTTAGTAATACCTAACATGTACATTAAACATTGACTCTAAAAATATTTTTCTAAATACTTCATTTAAAATCACTGACACTGGGGGAAAAAAATCATTTAACTACAAAGGAAAAAAACCCAGGAGCAACAAAAACTGACAGCATTATGGGAGAGATACCAGAAATTGTGAAGGGGTGCCCCTAACTTGGCACAAGGAGTGTGTGACCCTTTGAGGGGCAAAGAACTGAAATATAAAAAGTAAAAGTGTTAGGACCAGGACAAAATTTAATAATAGGGTTGACCACACTTAAACAAACAAAACTTTCACTCACTTTGAAGTGTAGTAATCAAGAATAATAAGGAAAATCACTTTTTTTCCCCACAGAATGCGTATCTGAAAAAAAAAATCCCAGATATGGATAGCTCGCTGGAGAAGCTAGTCACTGGAGGAAATAAAGATGAGGAGCCTCTAACACAAAGGAGGTAAGATCTCTGAATAAGTGCTGTAGTCTGCTTGGGCTGTCAGTGCTGAAGTCACCAGTTGAAAATGATGTTAAAAAAAAATGCAATTAGGTATTTAAAGAAATGGCTTCCTTACGTTTTACATTAGAGGGAGGGGGAGGGAAAATGTTACAAACTATGTCTCCACGTACATACTTACAGTGAGCATCTAAAAATGTGAGCGTTTCAGCCGTTGCTACCGTTGCTCCTAGCAACCTTGCAGTGATCAGACCTTTTCTCTCTCTTTGTCTGACTATTTTTACTATAGAAAATTGTTTTATATATTCTTCTAGTTTATCATGTAAGTACTCTGTAAGAAAAAAAATCAGGATTAACTCATTCTTAAGTTTATTTTCATATAACATATGAAAGCTAATAAAGAGCCCACAGAGGAATGACCCCTCCACATGCCTAATCTTAACAGTTGTACACGTCCCTTCCTGATGATAAAAATCGTCTTTATTTTAACTCTTTATTAGAGAATAAAAACTATATATACACATCTTACCTTCTGAATTATTACAGTGCATGACTTATAACACAGTTAAGGTGTCTGCATCATATCAATAAACACAATGCGTTTGGGGGGAGTGGGAGACTTCAAATCGAGTGGACCCCAGGACTTAAAATGACTCTTGGAGGCCAGAGAAGACAGACCAAGGAGTGAAAAAAATTGAATTTGGCCAAAACAGACATTTGAGTCATTTTTAAATTGGTATTTAAATCTGGAAATTTATAGAAAAATGCCAAGTATCAAAAAAATCCTCTGATATTTAGGCAGTGGTCAAAGTATTTTAAGACCAAAATCTTGAGAAAAAGAAGACAAGTAGGAAAATCCAGGACTACAGCAGTTTGGGAATATTTCTACAAAGAGTCAGCAGAAAATTTTCGAAAGCTCTGGAGTCTCTTGACACAGAATTTTTTCCAGTAAAAATATGAAGGAAGAAGTGAGCATGCAAATCAGGAATGAAGTTAAAAACAGGCAAAATGAGTACATAATTTAAGGCACTCAATGTTCTAATTTGGATGAGATACATACCAAGCAAGAGTTAAAACAGTAGGTAAAAGAAAAACACATCAATCAAGTCAGTCAAGTATCGTTCATATTTTTAAGTAACTTCTTAAGTCTGCTTTTTCACCATTAAATTCTTGATTCTTTGTTGAGTGTATCATGCATTTCTTCACATGGCCTTCTTGGGCCCAGAGCACAGTCTCAAAAAGATTTGGGAATATTGAGAATGTCAGAATGTCCCGGGTAGATGTTTGCTTCTGCCAGATTTCAGAAGCAAGTGCAGATGGTTTTGACTTATCTGTCATTACATATGTTTTTTTCAACTCTCCAGTGGTGCAGATAAGAGAGCTGCTTATTTAAAGTTTAAACATTCATAGAGGAGGTAAGAGTCTAGGAACAGCTTTTGTGGAAAAATAAGCCTATCTAAACATTACTGCCTCAGAGTAATAAACTTTTTAAACACCTTCTAAGCACCTCAGAATTAATTTTCTGAGAGACAAGTAGGATTATAATTTGTCTTAAAAATACAGTCATAGATATTTCTGCTTTCATCATAGACTGGTAACACAGAAACCTTTTAAGACAGGAACATTTCAAAGGTCTTAATGGGAATTGATTTTTTAAATAGAGTCACTATAGATTCCTTCAATAAACCCTCCCACTGTTCATATGTTAAGAAATATTTGATTTACCCACAACTTCTGAACTTCCTACAAATTCAGCACCTATCCACACCCCTCATTTTGTGAACACAAAGCCATGAAATCGGATTTCCTGGGTTCGATGTACAGCGCCATTACTTTTAGCTATGTGACCTTGGGCAAGTTATTTTACCTTTTTGTACCTCATAGTCTCTTTACCTATAAAATGGGGATAATAGGACTTGCCTTCACAAGGAGCTGTTGGGAGGATAAGATGAAAGGTTACTATACCAATAAGACATTTAAGACAGGGACTAACTCGCACACAGCCTATGCTCTGAAGGTGTTAATTATAATTTGTTTGCTGTCATTGGGATTTGACTATCTCTTTGTTAAATGATAATCCACATATTTACGCTGCTTTTCCTGAAGCAAACTGAAATCAGGGACTATGGTTTTTACTTCACAAGCTCCTTTACAGTAACTAGGGACACATTTTCCACAGTAGGTACTCATTAGATAGCTCTTTGATTTAACAAGACAAATTACACTATAATGCAAAAATAGCCCTTGTCAAGAAAACTTTTCCAAATCTATTGTTGATAGCTATAAAGAATTATAAAAAATATTCAGACCCTTTGACAAAGTCGTCCTACTTCTAACTTATCTAAGCATATAATTCAAAAAAAAGGGAAAATAACGTTAAGCACAAGGATATTTATTGCAGTATCATGTATAGTAATACTAGGAGGTAAATAAAAGTAAGTGGTTAAGGAAAATGTATCTAGCCCATTACTGTTATTGAAACCAAAGTTTTGAAGGTAATAGGAAAAGGCTAATACAAATGTTATGTGAAAATGTCAGATTTTAAAACTGGATTTCTGACATGGGCATAATTACTTAAACATTATGTTTTTATTTAAACAGTGATTATGAGAGAGAAAAGGAAAAGATTAAAATGGTTAAAACAGGAGGATCATAAATGTATATCATTGTTCATTCTGATTTCCTTTAATTATATTAATCTTGTTGTAAGATTAAATTAACAGAAGATACCTTAACTGAAGGCTCACTAGAAGAAGCTTTACTATGCCCCTATTACCCAGATTCTTCAAAAATCAACAAAATAAAAATTGAGAAAAAAGTTCAAGAATGTAAGGAAAAGGAAAACATTTCTAGAATAAAGTTTTCGGGGTTTTTTAGATAAAACATACGAGAGGTATGCAGAACTTAATCAGATGTCATTTAAAAGTCCATGGATTTTGGTCCAAATAGACTGAAAGATAAGAAAAAACTCAGAACAAATCAAGCAATAAATAAATTAGCTGATTACAACTGGGTGGTGAAGTAACCTGGGTAAAAGGATTGGAGATTCAAATCAGAGATCTGTATATAGTGTGTAACTTGAATCCAGGGACTTGAATTATAAAACTTTCCCATTTGGTGGATAGATTACACATCCGAGTCAAAGATCTCTAGTGATAAGCAAACTTATTCCATCTAAATGTTAATTTAGCTCAAGAATATAACTTCAATTCACTCAGGATATTTTATTTTGAAACCACAGGAATGTTTAGAATTGTATGTAGAAATAATTAAATAAACCAGGATAATGATTTTATGCTTTATTCACTTACTACCATATCTAAAGTCTGGATACATCTTATAATTGATGACATGTCAGCTAATAGGTAGCATTTTTTTTCCTCATGGTCCATAAAGTAATGATTTACCTTACAATGGATGGTGCTTTGGATTTGATGCAAGAGTGTTATCCCATTTTACAGATAAGGAAACAACTAGTTAGTGCTGGAGCTAGAATTTAACTTTAAGGATTCTGGTTCCAAACTTGGGCTCATTCAGGAATAAATTTTGTAATCATTGAAATAATGTGTATGTGTTTGGTATTTAAAATACTTTAATGTTTGAAAATTCAGTAAATTGGAGTATTTACAAGATTATCCTTATGAGTCCAATTTAAAATGTGTAACCTAGTAACCACCTATTGACTTGTAATTTTAATGAAAATGCGTTAAAGATTTTGGCTAACTTCGTAAGTGCTACTGGAGTATTTAAAAGAGCCAAAATGAAACAGGATGTGGTGACACTTCAGTAATTTTTAACTACTCTTTTACATTATTTATTAATTAATGTATGATTTATATTAATTTATCTATTCTTCAAAGCAACCACAGGAGTTACCACTTGTGTATTTCCTCAGTTCTAAGCTGTACAATTATATACTTCTTATAATCAATGGCATGTTGGCTTAATTGGCCGTTAGGGTCTTTTATTCTAGTGGTAGGCACACTAGAGATGTATCATACACAATAAATTTGATGAAATTTTACAGATAACGATAAAGAAATTGAGGCATGGGGTGGGGTTAAGTAACTTGCCCAAGTCACATAGCTGGTTAGGATCAGAACTGGGGTTCAAACCAAGGCAGCCTGGTTTAAGGCTCAAATCTGTGCTCTTAACCACTATGCCTTACAATAAAAGTCTCACACCGAGGACTACAAAGTTATGAATAATGGTGTTTCATACATTTCTGAACTCCAAAATGTGTGAATATGGACATCCCTGGATGCTCCTTTCATCCATCATACATGCCATCCAAGCCACTATAGTCAAGCTCTGAGATGGCACACAGAGAGTACAATATAACTGAATAGACTTTGGACGGCACCACATGGGTTTACTCAGGAAACAATCTAATTTGCATACGCTTTCTTACCATCTACACTAGCATCATCCACCAAAATGATTTCCTTCAGCAGTATGGCAGGTGAAGAATAGAGCACACTGTAGACAGTTCTAAGCAGTGTGGACCACGCTTCATTATGAAAAACTATTATGACACTGGTGGTAGGCAGGGGAGGACAGCGCTTAAATTTCTGTTCAATACATCTAGAAAAAGCCAAAGAAGTAGAATAGTTATGAATTTGATTACTTTACTTCACAGCGATAGCATTACTAAAATTATTGTTAAACCTTTATCACAATAGAAATGATAGTGGATAGTTTCTTTCCACGTAAGATGATCTTAATGCTATGTAAAGGCAGAAAGATAAAAACAAAATTTTTTACAGACCACTCACCCAGAGATCATGTCCAGTGATACTGATCACACGTCAAGGATTGAAACCTGCTTTTGTAAGCATTCGCAACAATATAATTTTAAATACAAATAACATTTTAAATAAGAAAAATAACCTACAAGTGAAACAACCTATAAAAATGGCAAATGTTTGTAACTACTCAAATGAAAACCAAGTTTTTCTCCTTCCTTATAGAAATCAGGCATTTTTCTTAATATTTTCTTAATTTTAAACAGTGCAACTTTATTAAATGAATCTTCATCTTTGTAGAAATTATCTCAAATTAGATACTTTTCTACATATGTAATATTTTCTAAGTTTATTTAATCAATTTACTTAACCTATACCAGAACCAAAAGGGAAAAAACAGCTTACTTACAGTAAGTAAGCCTATTTTCTTATGATGTTCATCATTCAGCAAAAACTCGTTAAGTACCTACCATATGCCATATGCCATGCTGTGTTAAAGGTTTTGCTCCAATAATCCAATCTATTATTTAATTAAATAAGACTTAGGCATTTAAAATTTTCCTTTTAAAAATGCCATATTTAAATTTAAAGTAAAATATCTAAATCCATGTTAAAAGGCCTGTGTTCCTGTCACCACCTGAAACACTGATAGACACAAGGAAAGAGACCCCTAAGTAATTTTTGACTGATCAGTGGTTCTACCCGTTCACTAAAAACATTAGTGAGAAATTGATCGTGAATTTATTTTTACAGCAGTGTCATCCTGAATGAAAATAACCTTCAGATGAAGCCACTGGGGTGTGGGTGGGTCTGTACAATCTCCAGCCTTTGAGACTGGAGATGACCAGATTCCCTCACCTGCTAAGTTGATGTGAGGATCAAATGAAATAATACATAAGAGAGGACTTCAAAACGCTGTAAAATCAAACAGAGTGAACCTGGGGCATAAAGCATGTGTGGTCTATGGTAAAGATAAAAAAGTAAGATAACTATCTCGAAGTTCACTTAAAAACCTAAAGGGTTGTACAATTTTAGACAACAGACTATGAAATCCTCCCACAGAGTCAAAAGCCACTATAAACAGTGTGTGAACAATCAAACAGTGCTGTTCAAACCCAAAGATAAGGAAGTAAATCATTCACTTATGGAGAGAAGAGCCCAGCACACTTCAGTTGTTCTGCCAGGGTCAGTGGGGAAACCGGAGCCCCCAGAATGGGACTAGAGGCCCGGGAAAGCCACCCTAAAAAGACACTCTCCATACTCTCATTAATTTTAATTACTACTTTTATAGCCATATCTCAATATGAATGTGCTTCAGATCCTTTTCTGAGAGGAGGTCTTTAGGCTGAAATATTTGTAGTGATAAAAAGGAATTAGGTCAGGGATAAAATACTAAGACAGGGTGACAACACCACTGAGCAGGAAAAGAAGAGGGAGGTTCTGAGTGAAAGTGGTTCTGCTCCTTGGTACCGTCATGGTTTTAAAGTGTAACATACACGCGTAGCCAGAGGCAATCACATTCATCTGCACTGGTAGATGAAAGCAAATGATTTATTCTAAATTGAGTTTTGGATAAACAACCAACTAAAAATAAAATCCAAACACAAACTACCTATTTATATTCGAGTCAGAATTACACAGAAACAAATGACTAAATACAAGTTTGTATTTTTAATAAAGTCTTATAAACCAACATCAGGTCCATGTAAACATTACAAAAAACTCCATACTATAGTATTTCTTTCTTAAGAAAAGAGAAAGCCCTACTATTTGTTGTCTTATAAGCATTTTGGAGAGGGAGTTTTGGGATTAAAAAAAAATTGTTTCCCTTAATTTATTTGCCGTGTGACTAATTAATACACTAATCAAGAATTACAAAAAGGTTTCTAAGATTTAAAGTATAAAAATTCACAAAAATTCACACTAATAAAGCGTTACCACTTTAATCTCATGAGGCCTTCCCTCAGTTTAAGCTAAGATTTATTTGCTCAACTGATAAGTATTAATATCAAGTAAAAGTATCATGTTATATTGTAAATGCAGGTGATAATAGCATTTCACAATGTGATTTCATAAACCCCATTTATTTTGAAACAATTTGCATGCTCAGCTTATGCTTTAAAAGAAGTTGTTTCACATGTCATTCAAAGTGGTGAAATTAAGATAAGTTGCCAAAGTGATTACAGATTCCTTGTCAAACCATCTGAAAAATTTGGCATATAGGACGTGCTTAAATTATCAGTCAAAAGACCATCTGGCTTTGGGAGAAACTGGATCTGTATTTCTAATGAGCATGTAAAAGTTTAGCAATTCTTCAGAAAATGTGTCCCCTACTGATATAAGTTAAATTGAAAGTATGAAAGTATTAAATCTTAAGCAACCGTTCACAGTTCTAAGGTTATCCATTCCTATCCAGAAAAAGGTTCTTTGTGTGCTTTGCTATTTTGCACTTACTGATTGGTTAACATTATTAAATATTATAGCAGCTTCTCAATGCTTTACTGGGGGGAAAAAAAAGCTTATCTTGAGCTCACTTTGACTGTCATGTCAAAGAAGAAAAATCATGCTTCTTGTTTTGTGATGTGGATTGCTTTTCAGTCAGGAACTCTCTCAAAATCAGTAAAGTGCCATATTGCATTTTAACCTATTAAAATAAAAGAAGAACTAAACTGTGCCCTGTTAGAACATTTTACAGACATCTGTTTCTTCACACATTCATTTAAAATGATGAGCAGTATAACCTTGAATCACACAGATTAGGACATAGCGACAGAAATCTCACTCACACGACTTCAAGTGAGGGACTCATAGTTGGAGCAGGGACTCGTGATCATAAATCTAAAAAATTATGAGGGAAGCAATAGACCTAAGTCTATTAAAGTACATTTCTTCAGGTTCACATCCAAGTGTAATTCTGTTATAACCGGAAAGCAAAATACATAAGCACTGTTTGCTTGCAGTTTATCTATCCTGTAGTTTTAACAAATCTACAGATTGTTTGAAAGCACTGGAATTCATTTTAGCTGTTTCAGTGTAAATAGAGCTTTTGAACACTACAGCAAAGACAACAAAATGGTTAACTATTAACAAAGAGGTGGCGTAGTAGAATCTAGGGGGAAATTGTAATCAAAATACTGTATGCTTGAGATAAACATGTAAACAATGTGACAATAAAAAGCAATGTTAGCCTCTCATAAGCTAAAGGGAGACACCCCTATAAATACAAGAACTTATTCAACCAAACTCTAGAGAAAGAATCATAGTTGAATTAGTAATTACAGCGATATTGTCTCTTCAGGGTATTCTGAAATATAATTATTGCACTAAAAGTAGCCACAAAGTCTGTGACTTAGCTCATAAAATATCATTATCTAATAGCTCCAAAATCTTGGCACAATTTTTATTATATCTATTCCATAGCAATGCACAGAGGAACAGAAACAACTCCTCCAGCTCCCACATTTCCCATAAAACCCACCTCATATTTCCTACTTAATAGATGAGAAAGCTATAGCATTTAAGAATAAAGGATTTCCTTGTGGTTCTACAAAGCTCAGATCTAGAATTCAGTTTTCTAATTTCTAAGATGATAATTTTTCACATCTGCAGTGCCTCACCAAGCATAGACACAGAAATCTATCCTCAATAATTGCAAGCGGAAAACAATGAAAACAGATTAAATAAATGGTATCTGCTGATTCTTTGCCTAAAAGTGGCTAAAGAACCAGCAGCTTCCTTAGCTAATTCTCCTCCCCTGCAAACCCTGATGATAAACACTAAACAATGGACATTCCTTCAACGTACTCAGGAGGTCGAGTGTCTGGTCCAAGATCTCGGTGTAAAGAAATCCTGTCACTTGCAAAAGCATTGAAACAGTGTTTTGCTTCTCCACGTTCTTTTTCTTTCTGCTCTTCAACACTTAAATTGGTTGTTCTGAATGCTTTACCAGAAGCACCAGGTGCATTAGAATCCTGAGGTGGGCGGTCAAGAACGGGTTTCAGTTCTGCTGCTGTATAATATCCTTGCAAACAGGGTCTCTCACCAGCATCAATGTTTTGCCTGACAGGTGCTCCTATTTGCATTTTTGGCATTGCATCTTTAATATTGTTTACAGCTTCTAGCATTAAATCAAACATCTTGTTTTTGTTTTTCATATTTCTTTCCATCCTTGATTCCTCTTTGGAATATTGAACACTTACTTCTCTTTGCATTAAAATCAAAAATATTATAAAGAAAAAAACTACTGCACCAAGCTTCCAGAACTTTTTATGGTAATGTCTTTTAAGATGTAATTTTACTAGTCGCTTTAGGTGAGCCATTCTGACATTAAAAGCTTGTCACTTGACAAATAACAGTTACAGTTTCCTCTGTTACATGTATTTTTTATCATAGATTTGCTGGCAGGAAGGTTTCCTTAAATTGCAATACCTACAAACAGAAATAATAGATGACATTAGTAACTATTCATTCCTATAGGCATGGCTGACTTCATTCATTCAGCCGCAACTGAATGTAAGCTGTACACAATGTACTCTTCTGGGTAACAATAATACACAGGTACCTTGCCCTCAAGAAAATTACACTTTTGTAAGAACACAATTGCTATAATTAACTACAATCTATTGGGGTTATAAAACATTAGAGATTTCTCTCCAGTAAAAAATACATTATTTGTTAATTCTGGCTAATATCTATGTATGATATGCATAGATTAGTTTTATAAATATATTTTGAGTTTAAAAAAAAAATCTCAGCTCAATAACCAAGGGGCCAAAGGACTTCATTAAACTGATTGTAAAGAAGGAACTTCATATAAGGATTAAAATGACCTCTTAAGCTTTTTACATCATTTTAAAATACAAGGAATTTCAGAACCACACAGTTGTGGTTGTGTCATTTCTTTTGTGTCGAATGTTCTGATAGACTATGGCTACCAAAGTAAAGATAACTTGAAGGTAAGCTTCAAGGAGCAGAGGCCAGTATGAACTATGGCACTTCAACAGGCAACCACAGAGCAGTGTGATACGAGCTAT